TTTTTTTTTTTGGGTGTAATTAATGTATGTTTGTGTATATGTGGCGATTAGGGTCTGAGGCGGGGCACTTTCCGCTGGAGCTAAACTCGCCGGCGGTTTTCCGATGCGTGAGGGTAAGTCCAATGGACGAAGGCGGTGACGAACAGCTGGCTTATCAGACGGCGGTCAAAATCGGCGGCCATGTTTTCAAGGGGATTCTCTACAATCAGGGCTCCGAAAGCCAGCTCCCTGGCAGCGGTGGAGGAGGAGGAGGAGGAGAGGGCACATTCGGCGGCGGAGGATCACAACAACGGCCGCCAGCTCCAATTTCCGGTGGTGGCAACGTGGCGCTTGACCCTTCAATTTACTCGCCTCAGTTGAGCGGCGGGTTCATGGGGATACGCAATATTTCCTTCCACCAACACATTAACGAGTAGGGATTGGCCAATTTTTTTTATTTTTTTTTTTCGGATTTACTTTTCCTTTCTAATTTTCGGTATTAATAGTTTTTTTTTCCTTTTATTTTACTATTTTACTTAATTAACGGGATCCTTTGTTTTTAAATATTGTTTGATTTTATGAATGTACGTTTGGTAAGTATAATAAGTTAGTTTATAGTTCATTTACTTTGCTTATTAGTTTTGTGTATACAAATAAATTTATATACAAGCATGAATTGGTAGAACTAGATTATTTTAAAAGCTCGAGTATATCATAATAAGCTTCTTTAGATATATTTTCAAATAAACTTATTAAAAAATTTTATTTCAGTTGATTTATCGCTAGTTTATTTAAATACTTTTATCATATCAACTAGTTTTTGAGTCTTAAACTATATCTACAAATTATAAGTTATAAGCTCGAAATTCACTTACAAGATATCAACTAGCTTATCCTCGAGTTTACCAGACTTAGTATATGTTTAAAATATGGTTGAAAATTAATATGGTGATTTTTACATGAATGTGAAAAGGGGATATCTTCTACTGAACTACGCGGAATCGGGTATACCTTCAGAGAAGAGGAGGGGATTTCGAAGAATGGCAACGGCACAGACTTCTCAATACCTGGAAAACAACTGTGACTCAAAGTCGGATTACGCTTTCTTCAGACGGCTTCGGAAGCCACGTGACGTACTTCGGCCTCACCTTAGGAAATGGTCAAGGACTTAAAACGTGTAGAGTAAAGTGTGGTGTTTTTATTTTTATAATGTGTTGGGTAAAAAGCGTGTGGTGTAAGTTATTTGAGTATAAAATATTATTCTTATAGAATATTATAAAGATATGTATATATATATATGTATATATTTGCATATAATAAAACACGATGATTGATTTCAATAATTATCATAATATTTGAATGAATTAATATATAACATTTAAGAATTATTTCTAACAAATGCTTTCTGAATACCTTAATATGAATGTTTAAATAATAAAGCAAATATACTAAAAAAATAAAATAAAAAGTATAATAAGGTAAGACATAATATAATTTTATGTATATTTTAATTAAATATGTTAAATTAACTATAATTTAATTCTAACCATACTATATCTAAACTTATTTATTCTTTAATTTAAATGCTAAATACCAAAAATTAAATAATATAACAGAACTAGACCGTCAACTTTAGATTTTTTTTTTTTAACTTTTAATTTACAATTGATATCAAAATTTTAATTTTTAGTTGTCATTTGAAAATGACTCTAATTCCTAAACATAGATGTTCTTAAATATTTTTTTTTCTTATATGTCCTTGTAGGAATAGCATAAAATAGCGTGAAATAATGTAAAAAACGAGTCATGTCAACATTTCTTGTAAGCTTTTCATATAAATGCTAAATATCGAACGCTTCATCGTGTTTTTATGAAAATTTATGAAAAAAAATAACTGAACATCGTGGCAATGTAGAAAAAGAAGCGAGCAAATAATTTTCTAAATAGGGTATTGGAATTTGGGATGCATGTGGG